CGACCCATCCCTAATCTCCTCCTTTCTGAACTCCCTTCTCAATGATTTATTTCCACCTACTTGACTCTCATGGCCTTTGATCATCCTCAAATATTCCAGGAAATTTTCTTCCCTTTCTACTGCCCTACCCACTCCCAGTCTAACATGAGCATCTCTGTTACATGCCCTTACTGTACTGATCTCAGTTTATAATTATCTACTCATTTACAGGAGTATTGGTGAAGATTCTCACTGTCAGCTTTCAGGAGGGCAGAAATCATAGCCGGTTTTGCTCATTTAATGGGGTTTCATTTCTTATAATCCTTTTTTTACTTACAAGCAAGAAGCCATGAGGAGGATTGTTTCCTCAGCTTTCCCGTCTTCACTGAAAAGACTGTGCCACTAAATATCAGAAATTTTTTTTTTTTTTTGAGAGGTTTTTGCTATAGGGCATGTGTGCTCCCCAGACAGACAGAGACAGAGAGACAGAAAGCAAGAAATCACCCCCCAGGGGGGATGGCCACGCCGCAACCCCTTCTCCTCCATTCTCCTCTCGGGATCTTGGGCAGGCACACACACACGCCCGGCATGAGTTTAAGCCACCGGGTCCGGGACTCGAACCACGGTCGACTACGTGGGAGTCCAGCGACAAAGCCATTACGCTAACTGCTGGTCCCAGTATCAGAAAATTTTGAATTAATTCAAGAAATAATGAGATTTCCTTTTACATCTCACTCTCACCAATGCTCCATGTGACCCTGGGGCCATATTGCCCTGTAGCTGGTTTCTTCTTTCATAAAAGTAACAGTTCGGAGTAGTTGGTCTCCAATGTACATCGCCTCTAACACATATTTCTAGAAACTACAACAAAGAAAAAGCAGAAGAATTGAAAGTTAATTTAAAAGAGCACAGAAAAGGAAACAGCTACCCTAAAGAAAAGAGAAGATCTGGTGACCGATGTAGCACACACGCTAGTCTCTGAATCCCACTTTGGCAACTTGGTAACCTTGCAACCTTAGGCAGATTGTTTAATCTCTCTAGACCTTGACTTCCTCTTCAGTAAAATGTGATAAGAATGCCTACCTACCAGGTTTAATGAGAGAATTAAATGACATAATATATTATAACACCTGAAACATGGTAGGCCATTATGTTCAATCTTTTCTTCCTTTTCCCTGTTACAAATTTTTTAGATTATAACAAGGCATGAGTTGAGACTAAGGATTAAATTGTCTCTGCATATGATGGTTTATGAATGCTTTCTCTTTCTCTCAAGAGACTTTGTATCACATGGGAGAAAAAAATCATTGCATTCCCTTGAAAATTCACAGGGAACAGATGTGCTTTTGCCTGAATTGAAGTGGTTCTGTCACATCCAACTACATGTGACAATTTTAAAGTTGGTTCCCAAGATGCTTACAGACATTTCCTATCTTCAAAGTACAATGGCAGACCATGGTTAAAGTTCATTCACATCTAGATTTCTCCATCAGTCATTACAGTGATCACCTTTGCCCTATTCCTGTATACCACATAGTATTGGACTATTGGAGAAGTCATGACACATTTTTGCATAGAAAAATCACAGAAAAAAAATATGTCATGACTTTTCCAACAACCCAATAAAATGAGATTTCATTGGAGGAAAAGAGAGAAAAGGGAGTTCTTTCAAACCTTTTCTTTTTTCATTTACTTAGTTCTTCTTTAACAAGGATCTTGGAGTCACTGAATGAGAGGCCGTTTGAGGTGAGAAACACCTTAAGATGATCTATTTCAACTCTGTCACTAGGCATCAGTGGTGATAAGATACTCAAGCATCACATGCAATGGAAAGAGAAGACTGGACTTAGAATCAGAAACCCAAGTTCAAGTGCTGGCTCTGTCGGGTTTTGACCTTGAGTTACGCAGCCTGTCAAGTGTCTCCAGCTATGAAAGGAGATAGTAATAGCTACCTCTTATAGATGTAGTGAGGAGCCAGTGAGATGGTGCAGATGACAGCTCTCCGTGAGATATAAAAAATTATTCAACGAAAAATGTTACTGTGATTCTTTGAACTCACAGCCTTATAAAGCATAAGCACTCACTTACCAACAAATATCACCTCATCTTGCATACCTAATTTCGTGGACCATGAAAGAAAAATGCTGATACCTAGTAAAACACATAGCAAAATAAGTGTTCATTTTTTTTAACCATAACTCAAGAAGTTTTTTGAGCCCTCAGAATCAAGAAATAGGTTCACAAAGCTACCCAAAGTCCTCATCACAAGACAGCATAGTCCCCCCCCTCCACACACACACACACACACACACACATACTCCAGGCTCCAATAGAGAGTCCTACCCAGTACTTTCTTCCACCCCTTCCCTGAAAGAGGTAGTCTGGTCAACTATGTTCACACCCACAGAAAAGTAGGTTCCCCAAAAAAAGGAAATCACTCCGTGACCTCACCTACCTTATTCTTCCTTTAAAATACAGCTTCCAGGTCCAGCAGGTGTTTTGGTGGTTAAAATGCTAGATTCCCACATGGTCAAGAGTGGTTCAAGTTCCAGACTGGGTGGCGTGAAAATCACAACAAATAAATAGATAAATAAATATTTTTTTAAAATACACCTTCCTAGAAGGTCATATGAAGAAAAAGCCTGGGCAATGCTTTAACCCTTGTTGGCTGCCTATAGAAAACCAAACTTTTCTTGAGAAATTCAGCAACCACATTTGGGAAATTCTCTCCAACAGAGGAGTGAGAATGGGGACAGGATGGGTGTTGTCACTGATGGTGGAACAAAGAGTGTTTTCCTGAATTACCAAAGAGGTGCTATGTATTGTTTCCCAGAAACTAAATATCTTCAGGACTTGAATGGAGGCCTTTACCTAAAAATGTCCTCCCTAATAATGTTTTCAAAACAGTATGTTCATGGAACTATATTTTCTTTGCTGAACTAAGTTACGATACAAGTTCCCAGTGACTGAAACCACCATTAGCCTTGTTATTTTTGTTTAGTTGCATTGCCATAGTAGTTCACAGTTATGTGCTTTGCAATTGTGTCTTAATAATCCTTACCGGATCCCTTCAGGCATAGGAGGTGACAAGGATTAACATTTCCGTACCGCCTGAAGGGAGACCAAAGCAAGGAGAAATGTAGAGAGTTGGCTGTCATCATTGTTCAAATAGGATCCATTCTGAGATACACAAGCTTCTGTCCAGTTTGCCCTATACTGACAATGCCAGCATCTACTGGGTTGTTGAAAAAGTCATGACATATTTTTCTATGTTTTTCTATGCAAAGATAGGTCATGACTTTTCCAGTGACCCAGGAGAGGCCAGTCTTTTCTCTGGCTTTTGTTTATAACTATTAAACACCAGGTCTGTGATCAACAGGAATCAGATTGGGCAGCAGAATCAGGGATTTTGGATCTGGAATAGACCTTCATGATCATCAAACCATCTCCATCATGTATAGTTAAATGGGACCCGAGAGGATATCCAACTGACACAAGCCACGTTATTTCCAGCATTATGCTTTGTTGTTGTTGTTGCTTTTATTATTATTGACTAGAGAGTGAAAGGGAAAGTGAGAAAGTAAGCCGCCAGGTCCAAGACTCGAACCACAGTTGGCCATGTGGAAGTCTAGTACCTTAACCACTATGCTACTTGCTGGCCCCCTATGCTTTGTTTCTTGTTCATGTCATGTTTCAATGTCTTGCTTTCCTCTCTTCATCTTTTCTTCTCTCCTCTACCTTCTTCTTTCATTCATTTCCTTTATTTAAAATGTATATGACTTAACTCGAATTAGGAAACTTAAAATACTCATTTGCTAAAAGTCTGCTGGTCTATCTACTGGGCTGGCCTCAGGATACTAAAGAAATCTTTAATAATAATGCCTGAGGTCCGGCCTCTGTTGAACAGTTGGTAGCATACTGAGCCATGGTTCTGGAAACCATTTGGCTGACTGCCCTGATCCAGTCAACCTGAACCACAATGGGAATGCATGCACACACATGCCCAAGACTGAGGAGCCAGAGGACTTGGGGAAGGGAATCATGCCATGAGGAGACCCTGTTAAGGATGTTTCTCATTGCCTCTCTCACGCAAGTATGTGCATGTGCTCTTTATCATGAATAACATAAACTTAAGAATAATAATTATTATAATAATTACCAGGCATCACTGATGCAAAGTTCTGTGTAAGAACTAGCCTTCCTTTTCCCCAACCTCCATTGCAGAGTTTAACCACTGGCTTCAGGCTGGGTTTGCATTACCTCTCCCTGTTGGCAGCTATTCTCACATGTCTTAGGTTTATCCTACAGAAGACTGGACTTTGCTCTGGGCCGCGATAGAGAGTCATTGTACTTGCACACAGCTAGGGCTGAGAATTCTCTCCTGAACCTCCATCACCTCAGTAGAGAATGTGACAGATAAGAAGTTCAAGACTTCCGTGGTCAAATACCACTTTTCTCTCTTCCACTTTGCCCTACAGGAGGTTGTCACCCCATACTGAAAGTGAGTTATACCTTATTAAGCAAACCTCCCATTTCAGACAAAATGGCTCATTTTCTCTCCAGTGTTACCCCTTAGCTGCCAGGGGCTGCCAAGTATTTTGCCAGTTCACACTCAACCCTGGGGCACAATAAGCGAATTAAGTTAAAACACAAACTGCAGCTACTAACCTCCTCCCCAACTGCAGTCTTCTATAATTCTGATTTTGGGATTTCTCTCTTGCTGTCGCACCATCTATTTTTAGAAGCTTGTTAAGTTTCCTGCCCTTCTTCCCTTTTTCTAAGAATACATGTTTATAATTGTACAGAGTAAAGCAATAAATATGTAAATAAATCAATAACTATTAGGATCTCTGCAAGTATACAATCTGATAATTTCGTCCAGAATAAAGTTGAATTTTTAAAAAGAGAGGGAGGCAGAACTCTTGGCTGTAGTTTCCCCCCTGACGTACCTACCCGTGGCCACGCCTACTTAAGACAATTACAAAAGGCCAGGAATCTTGACTCAGGCACAGGCAGAAGTTTCCAGGCAGAGACGGATTCATTTCATTGGCGCTCGAGTCGGCAAAGGTATTGCCCTATAACATCTCTGGCTTTTAAAATATTTTTTTGTTGTTGTTTTTCTCCTTGGCTGTTTTCTCTCAGGCTACCTTCTCTAAAGCTATAGCCTCTTCTTTCTTTCTTTGTCTCTCCCTGGTTTGGCATGTGAGTTAAAATCACAGTCAGATTTCAGAAGATAATTCTTGGTTCAAGACGATGTGAGGTGAAGAGTAGCAGAACTGGCTTCCTAGTTCTACTACCAAGAGTTATTAGGAGAAAACTGAAAATTTCCAACCTGTCTCTCTCTTGCATCTGTGTAAGGCAAATTCCTCATTCTCGTGTGTGTGTGTGTGTGTGTGTGTGTGTGTGTGTGTGTGTGTGTTTTAACCTATCCAAGGTTTGAATGCCAACTATGTATGGTGATTTGGGCTGGGCACAAAACTTCCTAAAAGAAGTTTACAATCTACTAGAGGAGGCAGATCCATATAAAACTAATTCAAGGGAGCAAGAAGAATGGGGAAAATGTTGAGTGTAGGCTAAGTCAGTCAATGAAGTTTCTTAAGAAGCACAGAGCAGAGGTGGCTCCCCTTGCAGGCATCTGGTTAAGAGGCTGACTAAGCTGACAGTCTCCATGTTCTCTGTTGTAGTAGTCAAGATGGCCAAAGTCCCTGACCTGTTTGAAGACCTGAAGAACTGTTACAGGTATGAAATAGATCCTATCTCTTGTGATTTAATAAGTGGCTCAAGGTTCATTTGAATTCTAGCTAGGAGTTACAATGACCAGATGGGGGTCAGGCTGGCAACAACTATAGAGATTCAAACTAGTCCTGAAATCAGGGCCTATATGGAGAAGACCCAGTAAAACTAAGCTCCAACATGTTAAACTGAGGTTATATTGGCAGAGAAATAGTCATTCTGGAAAATGTTTTGAGGTCTGTTGAGTCTTCTGTGAGATTCAACATCAACTACAACACAACCTCAATTGAGTTCACGTGCTCTGATGCAGTAACAGGTTTTAATAGATTGCGAGAAAATCCATTCTCAGAAAAACATGATCTCAGGCTGAAATAGGAAATAGTGCCATAGCTATTTGAGTCTGTGGATGTGCATACACAGTCAAACCTCAGTCAGACATAGACAAGACATACAAAAATGATAAATTAAATTTATTAAATGTAATTAAAATTATGGAACAGTTTAAGCTAATGTGACATTCCCATTACCTATAATAAATACTAACACAAATTTTGCTATTAAAAAGATGCCCGGGTATTTTGCCAAGTATTAAGTATTAAATTTGCTTACATGTATTCATGTGAGTACATGAAAATAATGTGTAATATATGATCTACTTGGTTAAAATATATTATCTATTTGGTTAAAATAAAAATAAAGTAATTCGAAAGTATCTCTTTTCTTAAGGAGCTTAAAAGTTTTCCTTTAAATTCAATTAAAACTCAAGTGGAAAATTACTTGTTGATGATAATATGTATGATTAAGTCACTTTACAGTGTATTGGGGATGGGAAATCACATTTTGTATGCTGTGATGATGTTCAGTGAAGAAATACAAAATAAATTAATTAAAAATAAATACTAAAAAAATTTTCAGTTAAAACTCTTCAATTTGTCAGCTAAGTCCACTTTTTATAGACAAAGCACAGGTAAAGTTGAAGGCCTGCCCTGATGAGTACTAATTCCAAATTAGGGAAGTATAAATTATTGCATGTATGTGTATGTACAGAAGTCCTTAGTTTTCAAAGATGACATTAATGATCGTGTGTGTGTGTGTGTGTGTGTGTGTGTGTGCGTGTGAGAGAGAGAGAGAGACCCAAAGCTAATGTGGTCATTAAAATACATTGCCTGGTGACCTTAGAGAAATAACAAGACATAATTACATTCTCATCATCTTATTTTGACAGTGAGAATGCAGAATACAGTTCCTCTATCGAACATCTCTCTCTGAATCAGGTAAGCCAATAACTATAATTTGTTTCATTTTTTAGTTTGTAATGGGATGCATGAACTTGCCAGAGAGAGACAAAGAGAGATTCAAAGAAGGAAAGTGAAGAATCACCCCCCTCCCCGGGGGAAGACCATGCCACAGTCTGTCCTTCACCATTCTTCTCTCAACATTTGGAGCCTGCACGCAACACATACCTGGTGTGCTTTTCAAGCTGCCAGGTTGGGGTCACTTGAACTGTGCAATTGATCATATGGGGTCTAACATTTCTTTCTTTTTTTATTTTAAGTTTATCTATTTATTTCTTCTGAAAGAGTGGGAAAGAGAGAGAAGGGCACTCCAAAAGGGTTTCTACGCTGCAATTCACTCCCATCCTCAGGCAGCCCAGGTCACACTCATGAACACAGGTGCCTGGTACGTGCAGGAAATCTCAGCCGCTGGAACCCGTTTCCTATGGGGTCCGGTTACATTACCACTGCGCCACCACCTGGCTTAGAGACTGTAATTCTCATAGAACTGCAATTCTTACACAACACTTTCTCCACCAAAAGAGAATAGCTATGGCTTCTGTTTTACCCTCACTAGAGGTCCAGAGACCTGCATTTCTTCATTATAAGTAGGATCAGCTGCCTCTCCAAACTAATAGCATTCTTCATAGTTACTGGCTTTTCCCAGAAGAAAGCAGAACTACCCTGAAACCCCAAGAACTGGAGTTTCTTGACTCGGGCCTGACTCGGGCTTTATCAGGATGTTAATTATACCATCCTGAGACAGTCTCTTCAGGTCACTTTAGCAGGAATCTGTCTTCTAACATGATATGTCAAGGCCATCCTCTCTGACACCATCATTAGAGGTTAGAGAAAGACCGCCAAACATAATAGCACATGAAGCTGAGATAGAGGAAACAGGCCAACTGAAAGTGAGAAATCTGTGGCCATTCACCAAGCTGTATTATTTTGTTTGGAGACCATGAGCAGATCATTTAAGTACCATCTGTGTGTCTCTGGTTCTGGCTTTAAGTGTCGTCCCCAGTGCTGACCCCATTGTGCAATGGCTATGCCCTATGCATAGGGAGTTGGACCCCATATGGCCAATGAAGGCTCAAATCTCAGCCCTAATAGCTTGAAAACCATACCAGGTATGTGTATGTGTGTGTGTGCTCAAAATTCTGATAGGCTAGAGAAATGAAAGAAAAGGGTTGCAGCATACCCCACTGAGGGATGCTCTCTCTCTCTCTCTCTCCCTCTCATCAGTGTGCATGATCCCTTGCAATTTTTTTAAAGCTATCTCAGTGAGAGTATCCCTAAAATATTTCAGCACCTATTTTAATAGATGTTTAATCTCCTGAAAGGGAACTAATTGAAAGGCTACCACTCACTAAGATTATTTAAATTACTTAGTTATCTCATTTTTGAGCTTGCAGATGAAAAAGTCTTCCCAAGAAACCATATCATTTCATGAAGGAAGGAAAGAAAAAAAGGGAGGGAGAAAAGTGATGAAATTTGGGTTAGTGAGATTCTTCTTGCTAAGTCTATAGAAATACAGCTCCTACTGAAAGGAGTCTCATCCCATGGCCATGCCGGCCTCCCAATTCCTTTCTTCTTTCCTCACAGAAATCCTTCTATGACTCAAGCTATGACCCACTTCAAGAGGACTGCATGGGTCAGTTTATGACTCTGAATACCTCTGAAACCTCTAAGATATCCACACTTACCTTCAAGGAGAGCGTGGTAGTAACAGTCAATGGAAAGATTCTGAAGAAGAGAAGGCTGAGTTTCAGTCAGCCCATCACTGATGAAGACCTGAAGGTCATCGCCAGTGATCCAGTAGAAGGTAAGGAGAACATCCTTGTTTTCCAGTTTTAAATAAATAGGTGGAAGCAAAACCTGGAGTCAGAATCACAAGAGAGCATCCATGTGTTTGTGTGTTAACTTTAGGAAGGAAAATTAATTTTTATTCTTCCCCACTGGGGAGAGGCTAACAGTGGCCTAAACCTAGAATGCTTATGCCCACGCTCGTTTCTGACCACACTGTAAAGGTCTTGTGACTTTTGGTCTTTCAGGAGAAAGCAATTATATACTGTTAGAGGGTGACCGTTTACCAGCTATGCTCCTCTACTTACTGACTAAACTTCCTTGGGCGTGTTACCTAATCTTTCTATGCTTCAGTTTCCTTTACTGTAAAATGGAGATAATCAGAGTCCCTACCTCACTGTATTGTTGTAAAGATTAAAGGAGTTATTGCCCCCAAATTTCTAGACTAGCATAATATCTAGTACTTAATAAACACCAAATTAATGTTAGCTGTTATTATTATTATTACTAGTAGTAGTATCACTAATTTTACCTTCATTAAAACTACCAACATTACTACTGTGGTAATTATCACAGTACCTCAAAATAATCCTACATTCTCATTTTACAAATGAGGAAATGATGCTCCTTGAGATTAGCAACCTGCCCAAGGTGCACAATCTATAGATGGGAGAGCTCACACTTAATTCCATTCTCACTATAAGAACCATGCTTTTTCTCCCATGCCATTATCATACAAGTCTCCACATGAAACATAAACCCAATATTCCTGCTTTTAATCTACTGGGCCACAGGTGGCATGGTGCTTAAGGTGCTGTATTCCCACGCTGCCAACCACAGTTCCAGTCCCAGACCGGGCAGCATTCTTTCATTCTCTCTCTCTCTCTCATATGGCAAATTTTAAAATAATAATAATTAATAAAATTAAATAAATAATCCCTTTCTAAAAGATAATGTCTACAAAATAATACCTGTTTACCTTATAGGTTTGAAACTATAGGAAAGAAAATTAAATCACTCATCTTGCCACTCAGAGTTTATCACTGCTGACATTATGGTACATGTCTTTAAAGACTTTTTTATATACATAAACATGCATGTACAAACATGTTTAACAATATGAGGAATATACTGTATACAATTTTATCTCCAGCTTTTTTCACTTGCTAATATATCAAAGACATTTTAGAATGCCAGTTTTTCACCAGTATAAGGAAAGCAACAATGAACCTCTATACCAATAAGTCTTCATTTATACAAACATCTGTTTCCTTAGAATAGATTCCTAAGAGTAGAACTACTCAGAGCTATGAAGATTTGTGAAACTACTAATACATACCATTTTCCAGAAACATGGTAGATCTGCATCCTACATATATGTAAATGTCTAATATCCATTTTTTTTCTGAATGTATCCATTTGAAAATATAAATGGGAATTACTCATAGTCTTCCCGGTTCCTTAGAAACCTCCAAATTATCAAACGAGAAAGTTTATTCCTAAAAAACAAAAAAAAAAAAAAACAACTCTTTAAAAAAATTCCCTGGGGCCAGCAGATGGCATAATGGTTGTATTGTTGGATTCCCACATAGTTGACCATGGTTCAAGTCCCAGACTCGGAGTCTTAAAAGTCATGCCAGGGGCATGTGCATGCATGCCCAAAATCACAATAGGAGAATGGAGCAGAAGAAATCATGGCATGGCCATCATTCCTAGTGGGGAGGTGGTGATTTCTCACTTCCTATCTCTTTGTCTCTGTCTCTGTTCCTCGGCGAGTGCATGCACCCTCTCTCTCTTAAAAAAAAAAAAAAAAGGCAAAAAATGCATATCGGGCATGTGTGCATCTATGCATACCCAAAATCCCAAGAGGTGAATGGAGAAGGCAGCATGGTATGGTCATACCCCCTGGAAGGTGATTTCTTGCTTTCTGTCTCTGTCTCTCTCTGTCTCTCCAGTGAGCACACGTGCCTATGGTAAAAATCTCTCTCTCTAAAAAAAAAAAAAAAAAAGAAAAAGAAAAAGAAAAAATTCAATCAAAGTTTAAAAAGAAGCAAATAAGTAAACATAGGGACAATCTTAGAATCAATTCCACTTCTGACTGGGTGATTTCACTTTCTTGTTGCTTCCTCACCTAAATTGGAATATTCCTAATGTCCCTTTCAGAGCTACTTTCTAATTTCACATTAGAAGTTGCATTTGTACTTAGACATTAATCTGAACTTGTGATAATGGTTTTAGAACTCGTGGTGCCCAGGTCAGCATCTTCCCTCTCCCGAAGCAATGTGAAATACACTTTTATGAGGATCATCAAACGTGAATTCACCCTGAATGATGCCCTCCATCAAGCTGTCACTAAGTCGGATCAGTTTCTCAAGGCGGCTGCATTAACTAATCCAAACCATGCAGGTAAATGGCAAACTCTGTCATCTTCCCCTCCTTTATTTCTTTCAAACTTTCTGTTTTCAAAGAATAACCTGCACCCCAACTCTTGGCTTTGCACAGTTCTTCTGGAATAGGATGAAACACATCATCCTCAGTAAAAATCCCAGGTACGGAAAGAAGTTTCAGCCAGATTCAGAAATTCCTAAAAAAAACAAGTTTCCAGTCTTTTTTCTTTTTCTTTTTTTTTTACGTTTTTTTGTTTGTTTGTTTGTTTTTTGGGTTTTTTTCTTTTTTTGCTATAGGGCACATGCACTTACCAGAAAGACAGAGAGAGACAGAAAGCAAGAAATCACCCTCCAGGGGCGATGGCCACGCCACAATCCCTTCTCTTCCATTCTCCTTTTGGGATCTTGGGCATACACACACAGGCATCCGGCATGAGTTTAAGCCACTGGGTCCAGGATTCGAACCGCAGTCCACTACATGGGAGTCCAGCGACGTAGCCATTACATCATCTGCTGGTCCACTACATTGGAGTCCAGCAACTTAGCTATTATGCCATCTGCTGGTCCCTAGGATTCCAGTCTTTGAGAGCACTGAGTAGTGCAATGCTTTCTAAAGTACTATCACTACAGCTCTTTCAGATATACTTACTCTTGACTTTAAAGATGAAGATGAATCTGAGCATCAGAAATATCAAATGACTAACTCAAATTTACCCAGAAGCCAATGAGAAGCAATCACTCTCCATTAAAAAACACACTGATCAAACTTACTAAGAATGTCAAACTAGGCAGGTCTTTGCTATCTTTGATAATATAATTGTGAATCAAAACAGCCAGTAAGGTGCAAATACAGTTAAAAGGATGAATGTTCATGTCCAAACATTTTTTTCCCACAGATACAATTTCCATTATGGACATGTTTTAGCTTCAGGACAGTATCTGATCAGTATATAAAATTATTTTCAAAGATTCAAAGAGGCAACTTAGAACATAAGCAGGATACACTTCAACTGACATGCTTTGCACTCCATGACATTGACAAATTACTTTTGTTCTATTTTCCTACCTAATACTATTCCACAGACTTGTTCCACATACTGACATAGTATGTCTATTGCCATTTTTATTGGCACTGGCGTACTCATTTGTGTCATTCTACAGGACCCTTGGGTTTGCTCAATGAAGTTCCATTGCAAATATTTTTGTATATATTGAGTTATTGGAAATTTTGTGACATGTTATTTCTGTGTTTTTCTATGCAAAAATGCATCATATCTTTTCCAATAACTCAATTTTATTGTTTTTCCCCTATCTGGCTATTTCCTTGGAGCATATCCCAACATGGAACACCTAGATCAATAGGCATAAATAATTGTACAGCTCTCATTAAATGGTATTCACTAGCAAAATATGAATATCCCCTTTAAGTCATTATGAACTCACAACGTGATATATTACAGGGTCTTATTCAACTAATGTCATTACAAGAGATTTAACAAATATTTATTCAACCCCCAAGTGTTTATTCAACATAAAAAATCTCTAAAAACATTAACCAAATATTTATCTGCCTGGTAAATTTGGCAGACATAAAAGATACAAAAATGTATATCATTTCATTTCTGACCTCCAAGTGTTTACACCATAGTTGGGGCCTAATACACACACACACACACACACACACACACACACACACACACAAAAATAAAAAAAAAAATAAATAAATAAATAAATAATTTTAAAACCCTGCAAAACACTTAAGTTGATACAAATACAATGGATTTACTTTCTTTTTGACTCTTCTCTTCACCAGTGAAATTTGACATGGGTGCTTATAAGTCAGCAGATGACTCTAACCTTCCTGTGACTCTAAGAATCTCAAAGACCCGACTGTACGTGAGTGCGCAAAATGAAGGTGAACCAGTGTTGCTGCAGGTTAGTTGTCCTTAGTCTCCAACTTACCCTCATCTACATCCCAAACATATATAAATGATCCCAATAGGCAGAGGTCCCTAGCAGGTAGCACAGTCTTTGTCCCTTCCTACTGCAGTCCCCACCTGCCCACCCTCCCATTCACCATCTCCCAGGTCCTGCACAGTTTGTCCTCTGCAGATAGGTGAGAAGTTTGACTTCTCTTATCTCCGAGGCCCTATCCCCAACTAGAATGTGTGTGTGTGCATGTGTTTCTATAACTGGATCAAGTAAGGGGGGGAATCTACAGAGTAAGAGAGTAGCCTTCACTCATGAATTCATTCAACAAGTATTATTTGAGAGCCTTTTATTTTTCAAGCATAGTGCCAACAGCTACGTAGCTAGTTTGAATCAAAGTCCCTAGCGTTACAAAACTTAGGGACATAGACAATAGACAAGTCAAACAGCCAACAAAAGTTACAATAAGGTGCTAAGAAAAAGAAAAATGGGAGCGTTCTACTTAGACTGGCAAGAGCTGAGCTCCCTGTGAGAAGAGAGCTGTTGAGAGGAGAAGCATCCCATGGGAGGAGTAGGAATTGGATGTGGGGCTTGTTCAGCAGAGATCTGAGTGCACCCAGTCCTAGGGCTTTAAGAGCTTAACGGCCACCTTCCAGGATGAGAAGGAACACTCCTGGAGGTGGGCGTTGTGAGAAGAGGAAAGATATGCTGGGGCTAGTAAGGCAGAGCATGTATTTGAATTTCATTTGAAATACAGTGGGAAACTATTAAAGAGTTTCAAACAATGCAGTACTCTCACTTCACCTTGCTTCCTAAAATGGTGACTAATAGATCAAAAGGAAGATAATTTACAGATCAAAGAGCCCAGTTAAGAGGTTGCAACAGTAATCATGGGGGAAAGGAGAGGCAAGAGAAACAGGTGGGGAAAAAAATAGAATTGAATCATATTCTGAAGACAGAACCAACAGGAGAAAGAAGTGAAACTCCATTTACTAAAATGAAGAAGAATTAGGAGAGAAATAGGTTTGGGAAATTAAATCCTTGCTGACTTGAAAACCTCAAAAGGATACTTGTTTTTTGTTTGTTCGTGTTTTTTAGGTTTTTGCAATAAGGCACCTGTGCTCACCAGAGAGAGAGAGACATAGAGAGGGAAAGTGAGAAATCACCCCCCAGGAGGGATGGCCACCATACTCTCTTATCCTCCATTCTCCTCTCAGGATTTTGGGCATGCACACACATGTACCTGGCATGATCTCGAGACTCAAATCTGATCAGCCATGTGGGAGTCCAGGGCCTTAACCACCACTATGGCTGGTGCTGACATTTGTTTGTTTTTTATTTAAAGAGTAAGAAGAAGCATCCCAACACAGAATTTGACATTTATTTTTCTATGGGAATATTAGATTCTATTTCATCACAGGAGTATCATCTAAAGAGATTGTATCAAAAGGATTCAGTTACTGTTATATGGAGGAAGTGTGTGTGTGTGTGTGTGTGTGTGTGTGTGTGTGTAACCTTCAATTGTTGATTTAAATATAAAGATAAATGTCATCTAAATGCTAACTTGTCTTCCCAAAGGTATGATTTGCACACTTAGAGGTAAAAATATTTAGAGGTTTTAAAATCACCAGCACTCAGATTTGATGCAAAATGCCTCTGCCTGCGTTGAAGGCAGGACACAATGTTTCACCCCTACCTGCCTGGATGCTATGAGACACTTGTGTCATCGGCAATCTCCATGACTAATTTAGATTCTCTCCAATTAACCAAGGAAACCTACTCTTGTCAATAGACTAAACCATACATCTAAAAGGCATGTGATAAATGCTAACTGAATGAACAAATGAATGAAGAGTCTTATCATCATGTTAGAGTCATAGTCCTAAAGTGATGCTTCTCATGAAGGCCAAATGTCAAGGGACTGAGTTTCCATTCTTTTTCTAGCAACTTCTTGTTCTCTAACAGAATTCTGTTCTCTTTATCATAGGAGATGTCCGAGATACCCAAAACCATCACAGATGGCCAGATCAATCTCCTCTTCTTCTGGGAAAGTAATGGCACTAAGAGCTACTTCAAATCTGTCGCCAATCCAGAGTTGCTTATTGCCACAAAGCAAAACGATATAGTGCACATGGCAAGGGGGCAACCCTCTATCACTGACTTTGATATATTAGAAAACTAACCTTAGCTCTGGAGTCCACTCACTTGTGAAGTGTTGACAGTCTGTATGTACCATGTACATGAAATCAAATCCTTTACCCTTAGTCATTTGCTGAGCACGCGCTGAGCCTTTGTTATTCTAAATGAATGTTTACCCTCTCTGTAAGAGAAGAGCAAGGTTTAGTAGAACCAACACTAACATATAATGTTGTTTGTTATGTAAAGAACACCCTGAACTTTGAACAGTACCAATTATTTTAATTATTATTCTTTGTAACACTTTTAGAAGGACCATAGCTATTAACTATAGTTACCAAAAGGACTCTACTCATAGTATGAATGGGTTAAGTAAGGTGTGAGAAAACTCAAAAACACGTTCAACAGCAGTTGGCTTACAAAGCCATGGACTCAAAATTTCATTCCAACTATTTGCCTTCTGCTTTTAAGTTCCTGATGGACCCTTAAGTAAATAGCATTAGTTTCTGGGACCTCCGTTTCATCATTTTCGACATTGGAGCCAATAACATCTATCCTTCTTGTTTCAACAGTTTTTTAAACCATCACTGGGGTCATTTTGGTAAAATACTTCTTGAAACTGAGCCTCAAGGAGAAGAAAAAGCATGAGATGTTATTTTTAAATTATTATTTATATATATATGTATTTATTTATAAATTTATTTTAAGATAATTATATTATTATATTTATGGCAGTTCCTTGCATTGTCTGAGTGTGACCAGATTTCTTCATCAACAGCAGTCAGTGTTTTCTAGGCTGCATTTGACTTTGTTATACCAGAGCACTTTGGTTCAAGATGTACTTTTTTCATAGCCATGAAGTTCTGAATTCTAGTACTTGGGAGCCTTGTAATTATAAAAATAAACTTATATTAATTACTTTGTTTGAGTTAAAGACTGAGCCAATCTTTCATTCTTCTGCCGTTAAACTTGCCTTGGCATTCTTATATCAGTCAATTTCACCTGCAAAAATCAAGTCCTGCTAGATATACTGGAATAAATTTCACTTTGGCAATGGTGGGACCACTGTTATCTATACTGTCTTTTCTGGAATGTAAACAAGGTTTCTTCTAGGTTCTAAAAATTGTGGCTGAACCATAGTGTTACATTACTATCAAAAATTGATCTGACAGAGTTATTTGTCCTTATCATTATTTTACACCATGATAATTAGAAACAAATGGTAAAAGTTCACATAAGTGACTAGGCTTATTGTTACTTTACAGAGTCAAACCAAGATGTGTTCTAGTTTTCTCTCCCCTTTGTAAGCTACCAGTATGTATTAATGGCATTATGAGTGAAACTATTCCCAGGTTCAAGTAAAACCCATATTAAACATACACAGCACATAACTCATATGTCCACATGGAACCGCATTAAAAACAACTAAAGAGTTCACCTGGAAAGCATAGTTATGAGATATGGTGAGTCTGGAAAAAAGTTCAAATCAAGAGAACTTGGAATTAATTAATTAAGCGATAATGTGAAGATGACACTGTCTTTTGACATTACAGTCCAGCAGTTTGGAAAAGGGTGCATGTGCAGGACCAGCAAGTGACGTAGTAGTTAGGCACTGGACACATAGTCGACCATGGTTTGGGTAGCAGACCTGGCAGCTTGAAACTCACACTGGAAGTGTGTGTGTGTGTGTGTGTACGCGCACGTGCACAACACATGCACATGTGCATACTCAAAATCTGGCAAGGAGAAGGGATTGCAGTGTGGCCATTCTCCCTGGGAGGTGATTTCTCACTTTCTCTCTGTCTCTTTCTGTCCCTCCAGTGAATGCACGCACCCTATAGCCAAAATCTTTTTTAAAAAAATACTACTAAACCGGGCACATGTGCATGCATGCTCCAAATCCCAACAAAATGGAGAAATAGAGAAGGGGCCAAAGCAAAACCATGCTCATCCCTCACCCTCTCTCTTTCTGTCTCTCTGTTTATCTCTGGAGAGTACATGTGCCCTCTGGCAAATATAAAAATAAAAATAAGAAATAAGAAGTTCTGCTCCATTTCAGGATGACATATAATGGATATAATTTTAGACCTGTAATTTGAGCTTCTGGGAGGACACCCAAGTACAGATGTGCAATAGGCAGAAGATCGTGTAGCTGGAACTCAGGAGAAATTAGAACCAGATTTGGAAGACATCAACACGTGTGCACTAGGTAAAACCCTAAAAGAGACATCCAAGAAAGAACAAAAGAGAAGCATATGGAGAACGCTGTTGGCTGTCCATGTAACTGCCATCTCCCCTTCTTTCTTACTAACAGAACCCTAATTTTATGAAGAAATCGAAGTACCCTATCTCAAAGGATGAATCCAATTAATTTCAGATCATGTTTAGTCTACGCTCACATGACTGTTTAGTCTATGCTCACATGACTCTTCTGCTCACTTAATCCTGACTAATGAGATCTCAATCTGCTACAGGGAACTTCTGGAAAAATGTTCTACCCTGATAAAAGAAAAAGCTGTATATGAGTCCAAATGGTAGCACGGTGTAGCACAACTGGACCCACATAGAAGGACCCCTGGTTCACATCCTAGGCCTCCCTGTACACAACCATGAATGTGTATACCCTTGATCTGGGCTTGCTGAGGCTGGAGGTAGACACCAACATGGAGACCTTGCTTGGGAGGAGGGTCTCTCTCTCTCTCTCTCTCTTTTTCTCTCACTCTCTCAAGTAAATAAACGTTTTTTAAAAACTTAAAAGTAAAGCCACATAGAAGAAAATACCTTTTCCTCCTTCCTACATGAGGCATGTTCTTTGAGGATGTCAAGTTTAGAACTCTGGTATCCAACTTGCACCAATTGGGAAGACATAGCCACACCCTAAAGAGGGTCTAGAGGAAGAAGAAAGAACCAGGATCTCTGACAACATCGTTACACTAAGAAGCTACCTCCAGATGAGAACTGTTATTACTATAAGCCATTTTTTTCTAGGCTGCTATTACTTGTGGCCAAACTCAGCCCTATTGATAGAGAGCACCACAGAGACATAGTCTCTTATTTGTTTCACCCTGTTTTTTCTAGCAGTTGCTACCTTCTTAGGGTTTCCTTATCTGGTCTGGCTAGAGTACGACTAAATAAGACCTGCTTCTTTGCTATCCTTTGGTTTTAAGAAATATTTAAGAATCATCTTAATATTAATATATCTTAAGAAAAAGGGAAATACAAAACAATAAGCAAGCAATATAAATTCAAGAAATATTAAAAACTGTCATCGCTGTTCAGTCTCTGATCAATAGTGAAATACTGAATCACTGTAAAAATGGCCTCAGAATGTTACTCTCCCACGACCAGCTATCCATATCTTCTACCCCACATGCTTATTGCCCAAACAGTAAGAGAGTCACTGTGATGAAGTTCGACAGACTTAGTACTAAACCTGTTAGTGTCTATTTCTTTTTTTTTTTTAAGGTTTTTGCCATAGGGCACCTGCACTTGCCAGAGAGAGACAAAGAGAGACAGAGAGAGACAGCAAGAGGGAAAGTGAGAAATCACTCCCTAGGGGGGGTAACGATGTTGTAATCCCTTCTCTTCCATTCTCCTCCTGGGATTTTGAGCATGCATGCCCAGCATGATTTTTAAGCTGCCAGGTTGGGTACTCAAACCACTCAATCAGCCATGTGGGATCCACTGCCTTAACTACCAAGCCACCTGCTGGTCATATAAATATTTTATAGTGTGATTCTGCTTTTATTCAAAATACCTATTATTTGTATTTAAATTATTATAGAAGAGGATACACCAAAATATTAGCAGAAATGTTTACTTCTGAATGATTGAATGACTTATATGTTTTATGGGGTTTTGTTTATATATTTTTCTAATTTTTAATGAATATCTAATTACATGACAAAATGCCAGTTTACACAAAATGTATTATTAAAACATTTCATTGAACTATATATAAAATGGATGCAGGTAACCAGCAGTTAGTGTAATGGCTATGTTGCTGGACTCCCACGTAGTCGACCGCGGTTTGCGTCCCAGACCCGGTGGCTTAAAACTCACACCGGGCACGTGTGCATGCGTGCCCAAGATCCCTAGAGGAGAATGGAGGAGAAGGGATTGCGGCGTGACCATCCCCCCTGGGGAGCGATTTCTCACTTTATGTCTCTATGTCTCTCTCTGTCTGTCTGGCGAGCGCCCGCCCCCTATAGTGAAAATTTCTCCAAAAAAAAAAATAAATAAATAAATAAAAATAAAATAAAAAATAAAATGGATGCATATTAAAATATATAAAATAATACCTCAATAAAGAGGGCTTTTTTTTTTTTTTTTTTTTGAGGTTTTAGCCTTAGGTCTTAGCCTGTGCACTGGCTGGAGAAAGACATACACACACACACACACACACACACGCACAGTGAGAGGGGAAATGAGAAATCACCCACACACACACACCAGAGGGGATGGCCACGCTGCCATCCCTTCTCCTCCATTTTTCTCCCAGGATCTTGAGCACACACACAGATGCACCTGGCATGATTATGAAGCCATCAGATCCAGGACTCAAACCATAGTTGGGCATGTGGAAGTCCAGCAATGTAACTGCTATACTATCTGCTGGTGCCAAGAAAGCTTTTAAATTATTCATAAGGGAAAAAAAGTATCTCTGTTCTATTTCTTCCTTTGTGCGAACAGAGTGGTGTCATATTTTTGGCTGCTAGGTTTTGTGTTTTTTTGGTTTGTGTGTGTGCGTGCGTGTGTATGTGTACCCTATATCGACCTTGGTGTTCCTTTACCTTAAAATGTTCTATAAAGTTATTTATTTTTCTTGTGGGTACATTGTTTTTCCTGTTCATCTCCTTTCCTAATCTCCATTCTAGCTAAGAACACCAATGCGCTCTCTTTTCAAAAATTTATATCTTGCTTCTCTTTCTATCAGAGTGGCTGACGAACAACAAAAGGTCTTATGCAACCTTTGCAAAGAGGTTCCGTCTCAGAGGGTGGAAAACTGAGGTTTGGAGTGCCTAGGGTTCTCTGAGGTATACATTCCTAGGCCTCACCTAGAGGTTCAAATTCAGTCAATCTAGGGTGGAGTCTTGAACACCTTTTTTCTTTTAAGCTCCAGAGGTAACTCTCATGTTTATCACTGATTAAGGACCACTAAATTAAGGCATTTCTAGAGTCAAAGATGGTTTTATCATAGAGCTAAAAATGGCTTCCCTTGGGGCAAGTCAATCCAGAGTTAGGAGAGATGCAAATGTACAAGTTTCACCAGTTCAGC